CATTTACAAGTTTTACGACATCTCGAGGGCGCACTTCTATGGAGATGTGAATCGCGATGTGTATGTGGAGTTACCCGAGGAGGAGACCTACGACGATCCGGACACCATGGTTGGCAGGCTACTCAAGAGATGCATGGCGCAGTGGACGCAAGTCATGTGCGGCAAGACGACTACATCGGCCCGACGAGCTCACACGGCTTCAAGAAGGGCGTCTCGAACCCAGCGCTGCTGCACCACGCCGAGCGTCATATATGAGCGGAGGTCCACGGCGACGACTTTGGCGTGATTATGCGCAAGTCCCAGGAGGTGTGGTTCGACGACGTGCTTTCGCGCTACGACTTTAAGGTCGCGGGTATTCTGAGTAGCAGGCCCCTGAAGGAACAGAGCGTGGTCTATCTCAACCGGGTGTTGATCTGGAACCCGTTCGAGCGTTCAGCCTATCCCGAAGCGGACACCCGGCACGCGAAGAAGGTGATCAGGGACCTGGGCTTGGAGAATGCGAAGGAGGCGACTACCCCGGCTGTTAAGAGGTCTGTCGCGGAGATCCTGAGTAGTAACCGGACCTCGCCGAAGCTGGACGACGAGAAGGTGAAGTGAAGACCTACCGCAGCGTGACTCTGCGGATCATGCGCCTGCGCCTGGACCGGCCCGACATCAGCTAGAGCGCGAGCATGCAGGCTAGACACATGAAGGGGCCGAAGGAGACCCGCATGGAGGATTTAAAGCGCACTGGCCGCTACTTGAAGAAGTACCCCGCTGGAAGGTTGCTGTTTCCCGCTCAGAAGCTGCCTAGAAAGGTTTGTGCTTTCTGTGGCAACGACTGCGCGGGTGATCCGACTACGAGACGTTCCCGAAGTGGAATGGCCATTCTATGGGGGGGCGCATCTGCTGAAACATGGCAGCGCGGTCCAATCCACGGTGAGTTTGAGCAGCGGCGAGGCCGAGTACTGTGCACTACTGCGTGGGGCCTGCTACGGTTTTGGAGAACAGGCCACTTTGGCCGACCTTGGAGTTGAGGTGGACTACGAGATGGACCATTAGATTTTCAGCGATAGCTCAGCCGCGAGAGGAATTGCAAGCCGACAGGGACTGGGTACTGTTCGACACTTGGATGTTCGATTTCTATGGCTGCAGGAACGTAGAGTAAAAGGCTGCTGCTGAAGACGGTCGAGGGGCACTGGAACCCGGCGGACCTGTTCACGAAGGCCCTCGACCAAGACGCGATGGAGCGGCTGATGAAGCTGATCTGCTTCACGATGAAGTTCGACTGTAGCGTAAGGCACCGTGCACTGCGATGTTTGACGCTGGCTGTTTGCCGGCGCGCGTCTCGTGAAAAATGATCGAGGCGCTGGCTTCGCTTTGGGATTTCGCCCTCCGCCTCCGCCCAGCCGCGGCGACGAAGGCCGAGGGGGGGTGCTCGGATGTCTAGGGCCAGCGCCCTGTTTCGGAGATTCCTTGGAACTTAAGTGAGTTTCGGGTTTGATCTAGAAGTGGAGTTTAAGAAGAGAGAAAGACCAGAGGTGATCCAGAGCTCTGTCTGTAGTCCATCGTGGTTCAAAAGATAGAAAGAACAAGGATGGCGGCGGGCGGTGCGCGCGTTGGGGGGGGGGGGTGGCATTGTCCTGGGATTGTCGTTCGTCGCGCGGGGGAGTGGGCGCGCGCTGGCAAGGAGCAGCGACGGACCCCTCCCCGGAGCGGAGGCAGGGGGGCGGAGGAGGAGGAGGCGCGCTAGACCACTTTCGCCCACAAGGCGAGTGGGATATTCAAAGTCTGGTGGCAAACGCGTTGGGCCCCACGTCGTCCTGCAATGCCTCTGTTCCTGTATTTGGACAGCGTTGCCCGGGCGCTCTGGGCGAATATGATTGGTCTTGCGCCGGCAGCGCGGATCTTTGCAATAGGGAAATGTCGCCTTGCACAGAATGCACATAATGCCGCCTGCGCAGGGTCCCGCTGCTGTGCTGGCGAATTTTGAGGCGACGTCGCGCGTGATCATGGCGAAACTTTCGCCACTCTCGAATGCTGCTGGGGGGTGTGGGGGGGCCCGGCGGACTGACGTCCTACCCAGGTTCGAGTGGAACCTCGCCATCCCTGTGGGGCTGCGATCTGCGAGGTCGTCGCCCCTTTCGGAGGCTTCCGGGGGGTCCAGCAGGGTTGCGCCCCATCAAAATTCAAATTAGACGTCGCCATCCGTGGAGGGCTGCGATCTGCGAAATTGTCGCCACTCTAGATCGCTGCTGTGAGGTACAGCGGAGTGGCGTCTTACCAAGATTCAAATGAGACCTCACCATCCCTGTGGGGCTGCGACCTGCGAAGCTGTCGCCACTTTCGACGGCTGCTGGGGGGCCCAGCGGAGTGACGCCCTACCCAGATCCAGATGAGAGTTCGCCATTTTTGAGGGGGCTGCGCTCTCCGAAATTGTCTTCACATTCGAGGGATGCTGAGGGTGTCCAGCGAAGTGGCGTCTTACCCAGATTCATATGAGACCTCGCCACCCCTGTGGGGCTGCGACCTGCGAAACTGACACCATTTTCGAGGGCTGCTTTTGGGGATCCAGCGGAGCGGCGTCCTACCCAGATCCTGTCAAGATTTCGCCATCCTTGGGGGGCCGCGATCTGCGAAATTGCTTCCATTTCCGAAAACTGCTGGGGGACTCAGCGGTGTGACGTCGCACACGATCCAGATGAGGCCTCGCCATCCTCGAGCCCGAGGGGCTGCGATATGTGAAACTGTCGCCACAATCGAGGGCTGTTGGAGGGTCCAGGGGAGCGACGTCTTACTCATATTCAGATGAGACCTCGCCGTCCCTGGGGGGGCTGCGATTTGCGCAGCTGTCGCCACTTTCGAGGGCTGCTGGGGGGTCCAGCAGAGTGACGCCTTACGCTGACCACCAGGAGACCTCGCCATCACTGGGTTCCAGCGGAGTGATGTCGTTTTCTGTTGCCCGGGCAACGACCGTGGGCAATCTCCTGATGATGCGCGACCTTGGCCTGGATTTTTCGGCCCGCGGGCCGCCCGCAAACCTGGCGGCGCGCCTTCGAGCGTTTAGCTCCCGCAGTGAAGAGCGCAAAAAAGTAGAAGAGAAACTGGCGGGCGAGCTAGGCCTCGCTCGGTTCTTGCACTCTCTGCAAGCAGGTCTAATTTGTTCGAGCGCCGCGGCGACATGGCGCAGGCAACGCTGCATCTTTAGCGCGTCACCGACAAAAACAACAATATTCGGCCTTCTCCCGTCAGTTCGTCGTCGTCCTCTGCCCCCCTGCCACCTTCTGCTGCTGCCACGCTGACGGTTCGCCCCCCCGCGCGTCCTTGTCCTGTCTTTCGTTCCCACCCCCATGTCTTCCTCAAGCCTGGGCCCTCGCTCATCGTTATTTTGCTGTTGTCCGGTGAATCGTGCCACGTGAGCGCATCGCATGTAGCTTGCGCACCATATAACGGCGCCTGAAGTTTCATTGTCCTGGCAAATTTGGGCCAACTCCTTTTGCCACTTGATGCAAATTGGTTGGGTACGTCATAAGATGATTTGCGAATGCGTTGAATGTGGGCGCAGCCGCAGTCTGTCACTGGTCGTGCAGATTAGCAGGGCGCTGCCTAAACACCACATGTTGTAGGGTTTCCTGTATGGTCAGAAGGTGCACCGATAGGGCAGTTCGGTGGCCCGCAGGATGTGTGACGCAATCTGTGGCACACCCCAGTCAGGCAACTGCCGATTATGTTGACTGCGGGTTCCTGGCGCAACCTTTTGGCGTGACTGGCAGGCCTACTGGAGCAACGGTCTCCCATGACTCCCACGAGGTGTTTGGCGGCGCAACCTTTGGCGCAACCCGGGGCGCACCTAATGGGGCAATGCGCGAGTTGGTTCTCCGCGGACCGATGGCGAACCCGCTGAGGCAACTGACGATTTGATTGCCCGTGGGGTGTCTTGATGGCGCCCCCACCGAGGCAACGGGCACCCCCTGGCGCAATCTGATGGCACACCACACGACGAATCGACGATTTGGTGTTCGGCGGGGGTGTCGTGCGCAAGCTGCAGCACAACTAATGGTACATTCACTGAAGCAGCATACGGCTTGGCTGTCCGCGGAGCGTCTGAGAGCACACCCATTGAAGCGAAAGACAATTGGGTTCCACGCGGGAAGCCTTGCGGCGTTACCTACACATCCAATGAAGCAGTGGACGATGTGGTGGATTGCTGATTGTCTGGCGCAACCTATGGCGCAATATGTTGCAATAGCGGTTTAGGACCTCTCAACTTAGTAACATGTTGTTGTTGATGGTGGGCAAGGGCGTGACTTGTGGCACAACGGCAACCAGGCCATTTAGATATTCGGCGAGTGGCGCAACTTAGGTTGCAACATATGGCGCAACTTCTGGCACATCGTGGATCTGGCGAAACGAACGGCGAAACCTATGGTTCAGCCACTTGCACAACCTACCGTGCACGGCGCAACCTATGTCTTATTCAATGGCGGGACGTACGGCGCAATGTGTGGTGAACGTGCGTTGCAACTTATGGCGCAACGCTTGGTGTACTACTTGTGAAATAGATGGTGCAGCCATCGGTGCAACCAATGGCGCAGTCAATGGCGCACATTGCAGTGACATGTTCAGTGCACCAGTGGCTCAGATTTTGGCGCAACATATGGTGCAACCAATGGCGCATCAAATGTTGAAAGTCGTTGCGAAACATATAGTGCACCTCTGGGGCAATCTATGGCGAAAGCAGTGGCACACCCGACGACGACGGCGAGGCTGAAACAAAGGAGGACTGGCGTCGATGACTCCAAACATTATGCTCTGATTGCGCCGACGGGTCTACGCCCGACTCGTACTCGCCGTTCGAGCTCGCGGTGGGGCCCACTCGTTGACGTCGTAGTCACATCGCTCATGTCAAAGCGCAAACGAGTAGACCCAAGGCGTTGCGTGAACCAGCAACCGTGGGCATATATTTGTGGAGGCATGCTGGCGTGATGCGCGCCGTACATTAAAAAAGAAATCTGCCGCAGGGCGTTTGCTGGAACCCTGTGCCGAAGGGCGGCACCCATCCGCAGGAGTGCTGGGATTCGAAAGTGTGGACTGGCGCAGGCATGAATAAGAACTGCAATGGCGGCCCGAAGCTGTGTCGCAGCTGCGTTGCATGTCGAGACGGATGGATGCACAGTTGATAGGGCAAGTCTTTGGTCGAGTATGGAAGTGGATTGCTTTCCTCCTCCCTCCTTTTTCTTTCCTCCTCCCCCTCTATTCTCTGCGTCTCCTCTTGCTCAGCATGTCCCTGATTTCAGGGGCTCTTGCACTGGGCTTCAAGAATTCCTGGCGCGCGCCGTTCCCATTCGGAAGCCGCCGCAAGGCCATTCGTTAAGATCTTCTTGTCCTTCTAGAATGTTCGGAGGCCCCATCTTCCTGTTGAGGATCGCCGTGTCGGCGGCCAACGCCCAGATAATATGTATGTGTGTGTGCACATGCGTATATATATATATATGTGTGTATATATATACACTCATGTCGTCTGTTAAGAAACTCACTTTTTTGAGCTGGGTCTCAGAATTTCTTAAACGAAAATAGGGTATTCGAAAAAGCTGGGACCAATTTCTTAAGTTTGATCGTTGTGGGTGGTGCTGGAGGGGGGTTGTGCTAGGGGGTTGTGCTGGGGGGTGGTGCTGAGGATCGTGCTGAGGGGTGGCGCTGGAGAGGGTTGTGCTGGAGAGGGTTGTCTCAGCACAACCCTCTCCAGCACAACCCCTCAGCACCACCCCCAGCACAACCCCTCAGCACAACCCCTCAGCACCCCCCCCGAGCACAACCCCTCAGCACAACCCCCCAGCACAACCGATCAGAACAACCCCTCAGCACAATCCCTCAGCACAACCCCCCAGCACAACACCTCAGCACAACCCCTCAGCACGGCCCCTCAGCACAACCCCCCAGCACAACCCCTCAGCACAACCCCTCAGCACAACCCCCCCCCCCAGCACAACCCCTCAGCACAACCCCCCCCCCCCCAGCACGCCTCCCCCCAGCACAACCCTCCAGCACGACCCATCAGCACAACCCCTCAGCACAACCCTCTGGCACAAACCCTCAGCACAACCCCTCATCACAACCCCTCAGCACAACCCCTCATCCGCAAAACTCCTCAGCACAACCCCTCAGCACAACCCCAGCACAACCCCTCAGCACAACCCCCGGGCACAACCCCTCATCACCACAACTCCTCAGCACAACCCCCCAGCACAACCCCCACAGCACAAACCCTCAGCACAACCCCTCAGCACAACCCCCGGGCACAACCCCTCATCACCACAACTCCTCAGCACAACCCCCCAGCACAACCCCCAGCACACCCTCAGCTACCCCTTAGCACACCCCAGCACACCCTCGCACACCCCTCAGCACAAACCCATCAGCACAACCGATCAGCACAACCCCTCAGCACAAACCCCTCAGCCACAACCCCCCAGCGCACACCATCACAACCCCTCAGCACAACCCCTCACACAACTCCCCAGCACAACCCCCTCAGGACAAAACCCCGGCACAACCCCCGCACAACCCTCCGCACAAACCCTCCCCCCAGCACATCCCTTCCGCACAACCCCTCAGCACAGCCCCCCCCAGCACGTCTCCCCCCAGCACAACCCTCCATCACAACTCCTCAGCACAACCCCTCAGCACAACCCTCCGGCACAAACCCTCGGCACAATCCCTCAGCACAACCCCCGGGCACAAACCCTCATCAGCACAACTCCTCAGCACAATCCCTCAGCACAACCCCCGCAGCACAACCCTTCAGCACAGGCCCCCAGCACAACCCCTCAGCACAACCCCTCAGCACAACCCCTCAGCACAACTCCTCAGCACAACCACCCAGCACATCACCTCAGCACAACCCCTCAGCACAATCCCTCAGCACAACCCCTCAGCACGACCCCTCAGCACAAACCCTCAGCACAACCCCCAGCACAACCCTTCAGCACAACCCCCCAGCACAACCCCTCAGCACAACCCCTCAGCACAACCCCCCAGCACAACCCCTCAGGACAAACCCCCAGCACAACCCCTCAGCACAACCCCGCGGCACAACCCCTCAGCACAACCCTCCGGCACAAACCCCTCAGCACAACCCCCCAGCACAACACCTCAGCACAACCCCTCAGCACAACCCCTCAGCACAACCCCCCAGCACAACCCCTCAGCACAACCCCTCGGCACGACCCCCAGCACAAACCCTCATCACAACCCCTCAGCACAACCCCCGAGCACAACCCCTCAGCACAACCCCTCAGCACAACCACCCCAGCACAACCGATCAGCACAACCCCTCAGCACAACCCCTCAGCACACATCGTGAACCCCCCCAGCACAACCACCTCAGCACAACACTGAGAGCACAACCCCTCAGCACAACCCACCAGCACAACCCCTCAGGACAAACCCCGGCACAACCCCTCAAGCACAACCCCCCAGCACGGACCCCGCAGCACAACCCTCAGCACCCCCCCCCCCCCTTCCCCCCCAGCACGCCCTCAGCACAACCCCTCAGCACAACCCCTCAGCACAACCTCCCAGCACCACCCCTCAGCACAACCCCTCAGCACAACCCCTCAGCACAACCCCTCAGCACAACCCCACAGCACAACCCCTCAGCACAACCCCCCAGCACAACCCCTCAGCACAACCTCCCATCACAATCTCTCAGCACAACCCCTCAGCACAACCCCCCAGCACAACACCCCAGCACAACCCCCCAGCACAACCCACCAGCACAACCCCCCGCACTCTCCCCAGCACACCTCAGCCCAATTCCTCAGCACACCCTCAGCACAACCCTCTCAGCACAACCCAGCACAACCCTCCGGCACAACCCCTCAGCACAACCCTCCGCACACCCCCTCAGCACAACCCCCCAGCACAACCCCTCAACCCCTCACAAACCCCTCAGCACAACCCTCAGCACAACCCCTCAGCACAACCCCTCAGCACAACCCCCAGCACAACCCCCCAACACAACCCTCAGCACAACCCCCAGCACGACCCCTCAGCACAACCCCTCAGCACAACCCCCCCCAGCACGCCTCCCCCCAGCACAACCCTCCAGCACAACCCCTCAGCACAACCCCTCAGCACAACCCCCCAGCACAACCCCTCAGCACAACCCCTCAGCACGACCCCTCAGCACAACCCCTGCCGGTCGCACAACCCCACAGCACAACGCCCCAGCACAACCTCTTCCGCACCTGGGGGGTGATCGCGCTGGGGGGTGGTCGTGCTGGGGATTGTGCTGGGTGGTTGTACTGGGTGGTCGTGCTGGTGGTCGTGCTGGATGGTCTTGCTGGGTGGTCGTGCTGGGTGGTCGTGCTGGGTAATCGTGCAGGGTGGTCGTGCTGGGTGGTCGTGCTGGGTGGTCGCGCTGGCTGGTCGTGCCGGGTCGTGCTGGGTGGTCGTGCTGGGGGGTGGTCGTGCCCGGGGGTCGTGCTGGGTGGTCGTGCTGGGGGGTGGTCGTGCTGGGTGGTCCTGCTGGGCAGTCGTGCCGGGTGGTCGTGCTGGGTGGTCTTGCTGGGTGGTGGTTCTCGGTGGTCGTGCTGGTTGGCTGTGCCGGTGGTCGCGTGGCAACACCCGATTCGTTAAGAAATTCGGGGGCGAAAGCTGGGTTTCGCACCGGGGTTAAGAAATTCACCGAAGCTGGGTCTCAATTTCTTAACACATAATTTCTTAACACAAGTTATGAGTGTATATGAGACGTTCCAGATCGAATGCGTTGCCATCTCTTCCTCGGTGGAAGGCGGCGGAAAGGCGGCGGAAGGCGGCGGAAGTAAAACGAAACCGCCTCCGCGGGCGGAAGTTGGCGGAAGCTGGCGGAACCTGCGGAAGCAAAAGATGCGCCCCCAATATGAAGCATATACAACAACGCGCGCGGGGAGTCTGATTCCCTCGCCGAGAACATAAGCGGGCCAATCTTCGCCCCGTCCAGATCTTGCATAGAAGCAGGCCGGTTCGCGGTCATATTTTGCGATGCCACGCTGGCTCGCTGCATCACCCGTCCAGTTTCCAACCAGCAGGGAGCCACCTCCACGGCCAGGTCCGTGCGGACCTGGTTTCGGACTGACACCTTCTCATCGGCCCAGCAGGACCTTGACTACCGCGGTTTCGTTGCTGTGGACAGCGAGTTGATGGCGAGTGCCGGCATCAATGCCGTCCGCACATACGAGGCCATGGGTGGGTAGGATCAGAAAGAAAAGTGAGTCGATGGTACGTAAGCAGTGGGGCAACGAGGGCGCTTTGTAGGATGGCTGCGAGTATCATCAGCATCAGAAGCGACAGCGGCAGGATGAGCAGGATGAATAGGATGAGTAGTTAGTGGCACAGGTGGGGGACCAGGAAGCAGCAGCAGCAATTTCGCGATGGCCTTGTGATGTTCAAAATTCATAAGGACGTGTCCAGTCGGCCCCGAGACGACAAAGGAGCAAGCGTGTGTGCATATGTGTGTGAATGAGTATGTGCGTGCGTGCGTGCGTGCGTGCATGCGTGTGTGTGTGTGTGTGTGTCTGTGTGTGCGCGTCTGTGTGTGCATATGTGTGGTCGTGTGTGTGTTAGTGTCTGTGTGTGCGTGCGTGCGTGCGTGCGTGCGGTGCGGTTCGGTGCGGTGCGGTGCGGTGCGGTGCGGTGCGGTGCGGTGCGGTGCGGTGCGTGCGTGCATGCGTGCGTGCGTGCGTGCGTGCGTGCGTGTGTGTGTGTGTGTGTGTGTGTGTGGTGTGTGTGTGTGTGTGTGTGTGTGTGTGTGTGTCTGTGTGTGTGTGTGTGTGTGTCTGTGTGTGTCTGTGTGTGCGTCTGTGCGTGCATATGTGCGTGCGTGCGTGCGTGCGTGCGTGCGTGCGTGCGTGCGTGCGTGCGTGCGTGCGTGCGTGCGTGCGTGCGTGCGTGCGTGCGTGCGTGCGTGCGTGCGTGCGTGCATATGTGCGTGCGTGCGTGCGTGCGTGCGTGTGTGCGTGCGTGCGTGCGTGCGTGCGTGCGTGCGTGCGTGTGTGTGTGAGTTTGTGTGTGTGCGTGTCTTCGTGTGTGTGTGTGTGGCACAGCCAACCCAGGAAAGCAACCCGGGCAACCCGCGCAACCCGCTCGCCCAGACGAGAGCGCTGGCGCTCCGAGGGCAGGGGCCCCCACTCCGCAATCCGCCCTTGGCGGCGCCCACGGCACCGTCAACTCCTACACCCCCGCCGCCGTGGGGCTTCCTTTCGCGGCCCGCAGACTCGGGGGCCACTGCATGCATGGCGAGGCCCAGAACCTCGTCGCTATCGGTAACCCAAGGCACAGGCAAGCAGGCTGGTACCTTGAGCTTCTCACGCTCCACATCGCCACGCGAGAACAGCCTGTTCGACACGCCGTCCCGCCGCCGGCCACCCTGCACTGGCAGGACCCCCTTTCTCTTCGCACCCCCCGCGTCACATCGCCACACGCTCCTTCTCCGCGCGCTCAAGTCGCACAGCGTCCGCGCCACCACTGTGCACGCCTTCCACGTGACCGCCCTTCCCTAGTGGCTGCGGGTGTGCAGCCACTTTTGCACCACCCCGTGCGCCTCGTCGATCCCTTTGGCGTTCCAAGCGTCTCCACTGCGGTTCCGGACCTCGAGCAATGGATCCACGCTCTCCCGCGGTCGGATATTCCGACCACTTGCCCTGCTGGATCGAGGACAGCGCCGTTGAGCACACCCACATACCCATCAGGCACGGCGGTCTCGCTCGGGCGCACATGACTGCCAACACCGTTGCCGCCGACTTTCGCATCAAGGTCCGCTTCGCACGCGACGGCATCCTCCTGTTCTCGGCCGGCCCCATCCCCACCGAGGGCATCATCGGGGCTAGTCGCTCCCACGCCCCCGGCACCATTGTTGGCGCGGAGGGGTCCGCTGGCCTGTCTGGAGCGGCCCGTGCCCAAAGGACGCGCACCATTACGCCCATCTCGGCCGCTCCTGGTGCTCAACAGGCCCTCCGAGCTCTCGACAGACTCCGCGACCCATCGGCTGGGCGCCACCTGCGTTGGATAGCTCTTCCCCTCAATCAGGTAATTGCCCAAGACGCCAGAGCTGAGCTGTCGCGCACGTTTGGACCAAACGTTGTGGAATGCCCCTTACGCCACCATGCGCCAAACACCCAGACACGAGTCTTGGAGTCTTGCCGCAGACTTGGGGAATGGTTGTCGTGTCGTTTCGCGGCGGCGGAGGCGCACCTGCCCACGGCACTTCAACCTGGTGCACCCCTGCAACGAGATCCATGAGCAGCGGTCCAATCTCACGCGCTGCCAGGGGCATAAGTCATCTCCCGTCGCCTCGCAGAGTGACCCCCTAGGCGCGATCGTCTGGCCGAGCGCCTGGAGCTCGTCAAACTCACCCCGCTGGACACCAACGGGGCCCCCGCGGCGAGCCCGCGCCGTCCGCCATGGCGCGCTCTCCCATGGTCGGGCAGGCCCCCGACGCTGGGCTCCGAGACGCCGTCGTCGTCGGCGCCATCCGCGCCCGGATCATTCGCAGACTCTGGTTGCCGCGCCCGCGCGGGCGCGTCGCGCCGGCGCCCTCCTCCATCCCGACAAATCGGGGAGGACTGCGTCCTCGCCGCGTCCGCCTGGACTTCCAGGGCACCAGCCCGCAACTGCAGCCCCCGTCGCCGAGCTGCCCAGACGCTGGGCTCCGCGCGCTGCATCTCACTCCCCCTCCGGGCGAGCTCGCCGCGCTGGCTGTCGCTTCCGGTGGGCGCCTATCAGTCGCGACCCCTGGCCAGAAGGGCGATGTCCCCCCGCCCTTTCTGGGCTGGGTGACTGTTTTTTCTCCTGCCGACGCTGCACGACGGGCATCCCTCGCGGCCGGGGCCGACCACGTCGCCTCCGTCGTGGCCCACGGCGCTTGCGGGGCGGCTCAGGCGCCCCGGCGCCCCGCGCCGACCCCCCCGCCGCCGAGGGCAGTCGTCGACGTCGCCCCGCCCAAGGAACGAGCTGCCGCTGCTGCTCTTGCCGGGGCCAACGCTTCGCGGAGCGCCGCGGCGGACGGAGTGCTGCGGGGCCCTCCCCGACCGCGCGACCGGCCGAGGGGCCCCGCTACGCTTCAGGGGCTTCCCCGGGCCCCCAATCGTGGGAAATTCCCCGAAAGCCCCGCAGGTTCGCGGATCGCGCGGCTACTGCAGCTCTTGGGATCTACGCCGCCTACTTCCTTTCGTCACGCATCGCCGCCTTCGCCGCATGGATTCAGACGCGCGGCGCGGCGCTGTCCGTGTCGCCTAGCGGACCGCCGACCCATTGGCAGTGGCCGATGGCCACGGCCGCCTGGATGCTCGACCCGATCGGACGCGGCAAGCTCAACGCCCCGCTGGGCATCGTGGACACGTGCGCCCTCTACAAGGAACTCGGCATCCTCGCGGCTCCCAGGCGTCAACGCCCTCTCAAGGCGCGGGACCAGGGGCCCCAGTCACGCCCAGCGCACTTCGACAGCTTCTCCCCATGTCGGAGCATCCCTGGCACCTGCGTCGCCGATTTAGCCCGCGCGCGCATCCTCGGCGAGGCCGCCCGTCGCGCGTCGCCCGAGGCCCAGAGCGCCCTTGCGCAACTGGCCCGCGACGCCGCCCTGGCCGCGCCCATGCTGGGCGCCGACCTCCCGCGAGGCACTTCTACTGGTAGCGACCCCCCCATGTCCGGCGCCCCCTCCGCCGGCCCCCTCCGCCCCCCGCCGCCGGCCGCGAGCGGGGACTCGGACGGCGCGCGACCGGGGGGGGCCCGCGCCGCAGCATGCGCGCGACTCAGCCCAGTCGGGGCACAGAATTGCCTCCCCCCCGAACGGCGGTCGCCAGCGACGCGTTGTTTCCCCTCGGTCGAGCCGGGCGGGGTCCCCGACGCGCCCGCGCCAGCACTGCGCTCTCCGCTGTCGGTAGCTCCAGAAGTCTCCATGCAACCACTGAGACCACCGCCTCCGCTGCGACGGGCGAGGGCGCCGCCCTCCCCGCCGTTCCCCTGCCGCGCAGACGCCCCCATCCAGCGCCCACGGGCTTGAAGGCCTGCGGCAGTGCTCCATTCAAGGTGCCGCCGCCGCGCTCGCGGTATGGGGGAGCTGACATTCTCGCCTTCCCAGAGGGTATTCCAAACAGACGGCCCCAGCGGCAGGGTCCGCATGCGTCCCCCCGCCCCTTTCGGCACACCCCTCACGAGGATCCTGGCCCCATAGGGAGCTCCACCGAAGGCCCCAGCGGAAGGGTCCGCGTGCGTCCCCCGCCCATTTCGGCACACCCCTCACGAGGGTCGTGGCCCCGCAGGGAGCTCCATCGAAGGCCCCAGCGGCAGGGTCTGCATGCGTCCCTTCGCCCATTTCGGCACACCCCTCACGAGGATCGTGGCCCCACACGGAGCTCCACCGAAGGCCCCAGCGGCAGGGTCCGCATGCGTCCCCCGCCCATTTCGGCACACCCCTCACGAGGGTCGTGGCCCCGCAGGGTGCTCCACCGAGAGCGGAACCCACAACGCGGCACTCACCAATGCATATGATTGGGTCCTTCGCCAGTATATTTTTGCAAGCAAGGGAAGGGCCCCCTGGTTTCAGACCTCCCGATGGAGGTTTCTTCCAGGCCAGCGACGGTGGATCGCGCCCCCTCTTGTGTTCGATTCTTCTGTTGAGCAACATTCCAGATCCAACAACGAAGCAGAACGTGTCATCCGAGTGTTGGACTTACAGCAGCCTCTGCAATACAAGTGTGATCATCGAATAGCGCCGAACTTTTATCCGTCATATGACACTACATGGAGACAGGGCCTTCTGGCGCGCCATGCCATGATGATGTCGGCAGGTCTTCTGATGCCTTTTGACAACATGGGCCAGCTGTCCACGATCCCCTTCTAGACATCCGGCACACAGATCATTCACAATGTGTGGTTGCATGGGATGCTCAGCCAGACCTTCTTTGCTACCTTCCGTGCTGTCGGATCCATTGGCGGCGGCGAGTAGTACTTGATCGCGCTTGCTCTCACCACCACCGACTAAGGAGCCCATGGTGAGAGAATGTGCCAAGCAACTCGGGCTCTGCTGCTGCAGATATGGTTGCAGAGCTATTCCTTGCACGGGGTCTGTAAACATGTGCTGTGGGCCAAATGTTATGGACTGCTCGTGGGTGCGCAGTGGATGGCGCCAGCGGCACCTTTCGGCTGGAATCTTCATATACGGCTTCACGCCCAGCACGTGCCTCGCTCAAAAGCGCGCCCCTTTGAACACAGTGACCTTCAGCATGTGTACCTCGGTCTTGCTCCAAGGCTCTATCTCTATCTGATACGCCACGGCTGCCAGATGTTTGAACGAAACCACTCGCCGAACATATGCGCATTCTAACATACTATTAGCAGGTCATCGTGGTACCGAGTGTGCCCTTATACTTGGTACGTTTCGCGCACGTTCAGTTTGCACGCAAACCTACGCTCGACCAGCTCATAGAAATACACACCATTCAGTTCGCCACAATGTGCTTGTCCGGTTCCACTTCGTGTCTGGACCTGCCGTATTTCATTATCCTCCAAGTGGCCGCTGTCCACTTACTGATGGAACAAGATGCGCTCGAGCAGTTCACCTAATTCCTTTCGGCACAGCTCTTTGAAGAGAAGTTTACTCGAGGCTGCAATCGATCTGTGGCCCCCATCCAAATACAAATCCTTGATGCCCACCTTCACAAACTGGGAATGTGGAACATTCAGGTCAGTTTCGCGAAGGTAAGCGCTGGAGTAGTTAACTCGTCAGTACTGCGGACAAGGTAGGCTAGCGGATCTAAGCCAAGCTGGACTTCAATTCCTGCCTAAAAATTCCCGACCTTGCCGCAAACGGATCAGTCTCAACGTCGCATCCCCTTGGCCTTGTAGTAATTGGTCGTTTAAGGCAGATTGCTCACTGGGCGTCCCGGTTCGCTTCTGCCCACGGGTTGAACGCACGCGGCCGCAGTCCATCATCCCCCACGGTTTTCGCAAGATTTGCCATGAATGTAATATCCCCGTTTATTATTTTATGTATCTTGATATTGAACGCGCGCGTCTGCTCATACCGTGGTGACGTAAATTTTTTCCGAATTAATCAGCGAATCGATTGCTCCGCAGTCAAATAACATCCCCCATCTTTATCAACGGGGACGCCTGCTATACGGTTCTTCCTCAAAAACGCATCCGCGTGCAAAACTGCGCGCCACCACGAGCCTGCCTCCGCCGCCACGAGGCCATCAACGACACCGAGGTGTTGGACGTGCTGTGGGAGAAGGGCATCTACGTGATGAACACAGTGTACAGCTGGGGCGGGCTGCCAGAAGATAGCGCCGTCGCGAAGGTGGGCACGAAGGGGGAAGGACAACGACGACCTCCCCCTCCTCCCCCCCTCCCCTCATCATCATTCTCCTCATCCATCTTGTCCTCCCCCTTGCCCACGCCTAGCCCTGAGCCTGTTGTTTTTTGTTCCTTTGGGCGATAAATGGCATGATCGGCACCGGCCCCCTCTCAGATCACGTCACGGTTGCCGTCCCGGGGCGACGATGGGCGTCTTGTAGCGCTCGCAGGCTTGCTTGGTGTTCAAACAGGCATGCTGTGGTCTTCACAGGCGCTATGGCATTTGCGAGGTAACGCTGCGCTCGCGTTCTTTGGAGTGGTGCTCGTAGCGCAACGCTCGTAGCTGCCAGCGCCGTGATGTATGCAGGCGTTGTCGTGAGCACAGGCGTTATGCTGTGCGCAAGCGCCGTGGTGCTCACAGTTGATGTACTGTACGCAGGCGTTGTGGGCAAAGTTGGTGTTCCCCGTCGGGACTCCTGGAGGTGACATGCTTCGTGGTGCACGCAGGCGCGTACACAGGCACAGTCGTGAGCGCAGGACTCAGTGGCGGTGGTGTTGATACGGCTGCTATGGTGGCGCAAGCATCGTGCTGACCACCAGAGCTGTGGTGCACGAGTTCATTGCGGGCCCAAATAAAAGGACGGCCCGTGCCCCAGGCCGGGAGTCGATATTCACAAAAAGCTAGCGCATTTTATTCGAAAAGCCCAGGCCCACAACGGCTTTCTGGAGTTTGAGCACCGTCGGGAATTTGGGGATGTATACAAGTTTTGTGGTGGCCGCAGGCGCCAAACGCTGTGGCGCAGTCGGCTGGTGCACAGGCATTGTGTTGCACACTGGCGTTATTCTGCACGCAGACACAGCGGGCCCAAAATACATGCCCATTCTCTGGGCAAACATCAATAATCACAAGTGCCGTCGATTGAAGTTGATACGTTCGACCCCACGGAGTTTGGCCTCGACGGGATTTTGGAAACAGTCTTTGTGGTGTGAACAAGCATGGTGGAAGTCGCAGGTGCCCGGCGCTGTGGTGCATTCGTATGTTGTGGTTGCGCAAGCATCATGTTGTACAGGCGCTGTGGTGCACGCGAGCACTGTGGGCCCAACATGCAAAATGAAGGGACGCGTCCGAGAAAAGTCACTAATCGCAAATAAGGCACGTATCTACTTAGACAGGTCCGGGCCCACCACGATTTCCCAGAGGTCGGGCCTCGTCGGGAACTTGGGGCTGTACACTGGCCTTTGGGTGCTGCACAGGCGTTGTATTGCACGCGTGCGCCGGACGCTGCGGTGGTTGTTTTGGTTGCGCAGTCAGCGTGTTTTACAAAGGCGGTGTTGTGCACGCGTTTGCTACGTGTACAAGGACGCTGTGACGTGCAGTGGTTGTTGTGCACACGGACACGGTGACGCACAGGACCACCAACGAATATTTGCCATGTCGTAGTATCGCTACCATTACCACTATCTATATTTCTACAACAGTGACTATCACCAGTAACACCATCACGACCACTCCGCCGTTAGATTCGCTTCAGGATTGATACCATCTTCTAGTTCCGATATCATTGATATTTCTAGCCTTTTAACTCCTGCTACGACTACGACTACTATAACTACTACTACTACTACTACTACTGCTACTACTACTACTGCTGCTGCTACTACTACTACTACTACTACTACTACTACGGCTACTACTACGACTACTACTACTACTACTATTACGATTACTACGGCTACTATTACTACTACTACTACTACTACTATTACTACTACTACTACTCTTACTACTACTACTACTACTACTACTACTACTACTTCTACTACTACTACTACTACTACTACTGTTACTGTTACGACTACCACTACTACTACTACTACTACTACTACCACTACTACTACTACTACTACTACTACTACTACTACTACTAATACTACTACTACTAGTACTACCACTACTGCTACTACTACTACTACTATTACTACTACTACTACTACTGCTGCTACTACTATTACTACTACTACTACTACTACTGGATGGGATGAGTATTGCCTCTGCAACTACGACTACTACTACAGCTACGGGTACGGCTGCTGCTTCTACCGCAGCTGCTACTACTTGTAGCGCGACTACGGCCGCCACTGCGACAGAAACTGCGTCGATTACCACCACTACTACTACTACTACTACAACTACTACTACTACTACTACTACTACTACGACTACCGCTACTACTACCACTACTACTACTACTACTACAACTATTCCTACTGCTACTGCCACTACAACGACGACGGCGACGACGACGACGACGACGACTACTACTACTACTACTACTACCACTACTACTACTACTACTACTACTACTACTACTACTATTAATTCTACTAATACTATTAATGCTACTACCATCATCACTACTATTACTACTACTATCATGGGGACGACGCGAAGTGCCATTTCTACTACTACTCGTACTACGACTACTGCTACTACTACTACTACTACTACTACTACAACTACGACTACTACTCCTACTACTACTGCTACGACTAGCAGTACTACTACTACTACTACTACGACGGCTACTACTACTACTACTACTACGGCTACTACGGCTACTACTACTACTACTACTACTACTAATACTACTAATACTTATACGACTATTACCGCCCTTTCTACTAGTACTACCACTACTACTACTACGACGACTACTACTACTTCTACTGCTACTACTACTTCTACTGCTACTACTACTACTACTACTACTATTTTCCCTACTACCATTACTACTACTACTACTGCCACTACTACTACTATGGCTAGTACTACTACTATTGCTGCTGCGACTAGTATTTCACGGCTCCTACTACCACCACGATTACTACGACGACTATAAGGACTATTACTACTACTGCTGCTACTACTACTGCTGTTGCTCTTCTGTGTGTGTGCTTGTTTGGTCACTAGCAGTCGTACTGGTTCTGGCACTGGCGGTCGCATTTGCATTCGCACGAATATTCTTGATATTGCTACTACTACGACTACGATTGTTAGTACGACTGCTACGACTATTACTCGTACTATTACTACTGCTAGTACTACTACCACCACTACACAGACTATTCGTACTACTGCTACTATTACTACTACTACTACTACTACTGCTACTACTACTGCTACTGCTACTGCTACTACTACTACTACTGCTACCACTACTTCTACTACTCGTGCTACGACTAGTATTAATACTATCCCTGCGACGACGACGACGACTAATATTATTACTACTTTTACTACTACTACTACTAGTCTTATTACTACTTCTCCTACTACTTCTACTACTACGACTACTACTAGGACTACTATTACTACTACTACTACTACTACTACTACCGCTACTGCCCCGCCTACTATAATTACGGCAGCAGCTTTTGCGATCACGCCTACACTTCTTGTTACTACTAGTAGTACTACGGCTACTACTACTACTTCTACGACGATTATTAACACTGCTACTGCGACTACTACGATTGCTACTACTATGAATCCTGCCAATGCTACTACGACTATTGCTACGATTGCTACGCCTACGATTTCGATTGGGCTTGCGGGTGGACTGATCCTGGCGACTACGACTCCCACCAAAACGCATATTATGTCTACCAGCACGGTTTCTATTACTTCTGCTGCTACTACGTATTCCCATTATTATTTCTACTACTGGACGGCGACGACAACCACGACGGCCACTACTACTACTACTACTACTACTACTACTACTACTACTGCTACTGCTACTACTACTACTGCTACTACTACTCGTACTACTACTGCTACTACTACGAGTACTGTTGCTAGTTCTATTGCTACTACTGCGATGATTGCTACTACTTCTATTATGATATCTCTGTCTGCTGCTACGATGATTAGTACTGCCGGTGCTACTGCGACGACTAGCGCTGCCACTACGACTACTACTACTTGTCCAACTACTGTTACTACGACTACAATTATTATTACTACTACTACTATTACGCCGACTACTGCTGCTACTGTAGCTACTACTACTATCACTCCTTACTGCTACTGCTGCTACAACAACAACTACTACTACTACTGCTACTACTACTACTCTTACTACTACTACTACTACTACTACTACTACTACTACTACTGCTAGTACTACTACTACGACTGTTAGTGCTACTATGATTACCACTAGTTATATTACCACTACTGGCTATTACTATTACTACTACTATTACTACTACTTCTACTTCTACTGCTGCTACGACTTCTACTACTACTGCTGCTGCGAGTGCTACTTCCATTAGTGTTGATGGTACTATTATAATTACGACTGGTACTAATACTTGTTCTACACACATTTCTACTACTACTACGGCTACTACTACTACTACGACTACTACTACTACTACTACGACTACTACTACTACTACTACTACGACTACTGCTGCTACTACTACTACTACTACTACTACTCTAACTTCGACGGCTACTGCTTGCTCCACGAATATGAATACGATAGTCTTTATTTCTACGACTACTACTGCTAGTAGTAATAACAATACTAGCACGGCTACCAGTAGTTTTATTTCTTCGCTCGATTGCACTTCTAGTTCCGTTTCTGGCGCAGACTCCTTTTGACGTGACCAGCGCGCCGTCCCCTCGCCGATCACGCTGGTTTGTTGTCGCCCGAGGAAAAACATGCTCCTGGATGGTAGGCTGACTTGATTTTTCCAAATAGTAGCAGGCCACCCACTTCAGTGGTGTCGACATCCAGATTCCATCTCCAAGCTCGGGGTGCGTTTGGATGCCACCAAGGGGAGCCCTGGTCGTAGTCCCCCCCATGTAGGGTGCTCCCGCCGAGCGCTGTCGCCCAGGTCAGCCAGCCTAGTTCTGGGCATCCATGCCCCCGAGAGTCACTGGACATCTGCCCCCGCCGGTTTGGTTTTCCCTTCGGGGCGCCACCCCTCCTT